AGTGTGATTATGCATGACACGAAGTACTTGCTAGGTTAGTACTGGAGAAATTAGCGTTTGGATGCGCATTGTGAGCCTTCAAACTCAATACGTGATTAGTTTATAGGCAATATCCATGTACTATGTATTATTAACTGTCAACTCGACAATCACAAGAAAATTTAACAGAACGTGACGAGTGGAAAACTTTGACCGGTGATTGACTTTCAGTCCTCCTTTATACGTATGAATGAGTGCACTTTCTTTTCTCATAAATTCCTTCCCTGCTATCATATCTAGCAGTACGTGTGCCATTGCTAGGCACGCTGGTACGTGACGCGCAGGTGTTCAGTGAGTGACTGTTCACTTGTCTCAAGATGCATCACCTGCTCCATGACATCCCCATCCCTTCTGAATGTGCGGCTAGTTTTCCTGACGGACGGCTCTTTACCTGCAAAGGTAATGGTAACAGAAAAAACAGGTTTACAGTAAACGATTACGGCGCCAAATTTTACAACAATGGTCTCCTCTCCGATTGGCTACTCATGACCTGTTTGGTAATTTTGATGATAATTTGGAAGGTAAAGAATGGAACGCTATTCTATATTTGGTGCAAATTTTCAGTTAAATTATGTCTAAATTATACAGTGGTCCCCTCCCCACTTTATCAGGACAGGTCAGGAACAATGAAAATGTCCTGATTAAAAGTGGTGAACACATTTCCAGTTGCACATACATGTCTACTTGTACTTCATGCAATTGTCTGTATGAACACGCACAATAGAATATGCATATGGTTAGCTCTAAAACTGTTTTGTAAGCTCATGAATGTCTGATAACATTAATATGTAGTCATGAACAATTTTCATGTAATAAGTATAATATTCTAGACTAATGTTTCTTTTTGAGATGTAAAAAAAGCCAGTATCACATGTAGTGTGCAACTGTGCACAATGATTTTCTCAAGTGTTACCAAGAGTATAATGTTGTTCTCAGTAAATAATAACATGTTATTATATACAGATCAATGCTCCTAGCACACACACTGTTACACTGTGACACCTCTTCAATAACAACATTTATGTAATTGAAATTCATTACGCAAGCTCAATTAAAAAATAAATGCACACATTCTGTGACTGCTTTGCTGCCAACCGTAGCTCTAATGAGATACCTTTGGCCTAGCTTTAGAATTATAGCCCTACCTAGCTCTGTCACATTGTCTGTCACAGAGCTAACGAGGACTACAGTACTAAAGCTAGCATTGGGCATGCTTCCACAGGCAACATTGAGGAAGCAATTACAAAACTAATGCATGGTGACACTATACTGACCCCAGATAACGCGCTGGACACTACTGGATGCCACACTCAGTTCCCGGTCGCTGTGCGTTCCCTCCTCAACATAAGCAACTCCATTGTTGTGAGCGGAAATGAAGGCAAGCTGATTCGACGTGGGATTCATGCGGATGAACCCGGTTTCTCTGTGAAGCACTCGCTATGTTCAGCAAACGAAAACAAATAAAACAATGTTACGATCACACACAACACACTAAAGTAGGCCAATCCTGGCCACAAGTTATCTTCTCGCTTCTCACTACATGATATTTACACAAAGTGAAACAGTCGTAGAGCCTAGTTGGGCAATCCTATTCTGAGTCAATTTATAACGTCCCACAATACAACTGCAAAAATTATTCATAAATAGATAGTAGATTAATGCATATTTTACTTCATAATTTCTGTCCCCTTCAATGTTCCGCCCACTTCGCAGTTCATTGAGCTTATTGGGGGTCGGTAAGTCGTTATTATTCTTGCACGCAATCAGTATAGTTGCCAGTATAAGCTACCTAGCTGCAAACCATCACCATTACATCAGGCTAACCCTACTATTCCTAACCCTAATCCCATAATTAAACTTCGAAATACTAAAGCAGGACTGAACCACATCAGTAAGACGAAAGCCAAATATTTTTGTCATTTACCAATTCCAGCAAAACCATAGATGCAATAACGTAACCCAACAACACAAGCGTAAGCGAGTCTTGTGTTGGTTTACATTATTGTATCAAGCAAAACCCTAGCTATAATACTATAACCCTGGTTGCCACATGCAACAAGGGCTATAATACTAGAGCTAGCAAAACCCCCTGATGGGGGCACACATTTCAATATACCTTTGAATCTGGCAAGCAGGACGTCGCTACAAAGTGAATGTTCGGCTGCCCGATGTGGGAAAACACAATTTCTTCGTCATACTTCACGTCTTTCATCGTTGGGTATGTACAGCTGCCAGCCTTCCCAAGCCACCTCCCAAGAATCCAGGACAAGGGCTTCACCACGGCGTGTATTGGGGGAGCACTACTAGCACCATCAGTAGCCGGTTCAGCTGACATGATCCAGTTTTGCGTTTTTCGATCTGCTATGGTAGGACCGGCTAGAAGTAGAAGAGAGCCACCAACATGTAACTGTACGCAATAAAATTAAAAGGATAGACTTTATATGGACCGCGTGAAGTCGATAAACTACAACCACTATGGTTGGCACTCCTTCACACGTACGGTTCACTGTACATGTCTAGACTTTCACCCAGTCTTTACATTGATCATAATTCCCATCTAATCTAGCTATATTTATAACAGAGACAAGAAGCCCATCTACTATATTCCGGACGACACTAGCGCTGACCAACGAGTGGTAGCTCAGCATTGTAGGAGATTGCTGAGAACAATATATACAATATATACAATATATTGTAATATACATATATACAGAGCGCAAAATTAGCACTGGCCCACCGGCACATGCCGGCAATTTATTTGGAGGGCCGGTAACATTGGCAAAACACCGGCCCTCCGAGCCGGTGGTTTCAGCCGTGTTAGCGAGTACCTACATTTTTATTCATAGCAAATAGCCTACATTACTGTTTTACCTGAAGGATATCACGCCATAACTTATCAAGAACTCAACTTATCGAGAATGCAAGAATGAAACATGACATTGATTTTACAAACAAATTTGCGAGGGCTGGTAAATTATGGCGAGGGCTGGTGAAAATTACTGTTACCAGCCCTCTGGGCCGGTGCAAAAAATCAGAATTTCGTGCCGTGATATATATTTGAGTTCGTATGTATCTATGTATGTATGTATGTATCTATGTATGTATCTTCCCTATAGGCGACCAAACCGCCCAAGCGATCTGGATGCAATTTTCACAGGGCCATCTCTTATACCCGGGGAGTGTTCCTAGATGAAAAAAACCTGCCAAACCGTCAAACTCACCGAAAAATCCGTGAAAACCCCTCAATTCGTGAATCTTTACACAATGTGTCAGCACTCACTGTACAGTGCTGCCACACACAGAAAAATCGATTCCCTCACCTCATCCGGCTGCTGGTATTGTGAAACCGAAACCGAGCACCGAGCTAAAACAGAGCACAGCCAGTTCAGAGGTTACGACTGCATTGTTTATCAACAGGCTTTGAAATGACAAGTGCAACCCATTCGTACATGCTGTTACGTGCCGTACGTGCCATACGTGCATGTCGTACGTCGGGAGCTCAACAGTTCGAGACGCCAGGAATCTTTACATATTTCCACCAGAGAATAACACGAAAAACATTGTTTATCAAGAAGTTTTCAAATGAAAAGTGCAACCCATTCGTACATGCATGCTGTTATAATAGCTTTTTGTCATTTACACCATATTACGGTGCAAATACACTTTATGACGTCCAGTATGGCGGCGCAGTATGGGGGCGCCTAACCCTAACCCTAACCCTAACCCTAACCCTAACCCTAAACCTAACCCTAACCCTAACAATAACCCTAACCCTAACCCTAACCATAACCCTAGGGTTAGAATTAGGGTTAGGGTTAGGGTTAGGCGCCCCCATACTGCGCCGCCATACTGGACGTCATAAAGTGTATTTGCACCCATATTACTATTATGTGACGTTTCGTTTTCATTTTCGAATTCTATTTTTATCCAATCACAGGTCGGACCAATTCCTCTGTTTAGACGCATGTTTACAGAGACCATCTCCCTAATTAATTCGTACTCAACACAAACCACACAACCAGGCTACCAGCTTCATCCCACTTTACTATACAGCTCGCGGTGCGTTCGTACCTACTACAGTATACTTTTTTTCTATATAAATGTCTCTCTGAAGACGTGCTTTCTCAGTTTCTGATAGTTTTATTATAAAAATTATACTACAACAAACAAGACATGATGCATGAAGGCTGACATGTTGGATTCTTTTCCATAGATGGGTCCTTCACCTCTTCACTCAGTTTACTTTCCTTTGATAAAGTGACTGAGAACCCATCTAACTGCCGCTATCACGTGACATAAAATTTGTTATTCCAACCAGTCACCTATCATACGTTGTACTTTTTTCGTCCGGTTGTACAAAACCAGCCGCTTTTTACCGGTCATAATCTAGAATGATGATTGATGATACTCCGTGGTACTAAATTGATAAATTAGAAATTTGCATATGCAATTCTTGCACGCTGTAATAATGCGGTGCCGGTGGGTACCGGGTATATTATCTATATGATGCATCGGTAACAGTCACTAATACTAATAGTAATAGTAATAGACGCAATATGTAACATATATAGCGTTATTATAATAGCAATAATGATATATAGAAATAAATATAGATATTAAGTGAATTGAATTGAATTGAATATTAATAGAAATAAATAGAGATTATTTCAAGTTGATCTAACATGATTTATTTGGCAACTATGTAGAGTAAAAAACTGAGGATGAGTATAAATTCTCTGTTACACTAAAGGCTTTCTTTATATCATACAATTAAGGTAACAACTAACATGCATGCTTGCACAAGCTATAAAATGTCGTAACAATTTCCAACAGATATAGGTAATATATATCTAGCCAAAATGTTTACCTATATAAATACACGGTTATTTTGACGTATTTCATTTGTTGTAATCTCGACGAATTGAGTTCAGTTATGAATCGAGTTAATTCAATCTACACAGTAAGTATAATATATAAAAACGGTACAGTCACAATATATAGAAACAAATGCGAGTCATAAAATCGCATGCATATACACAATAAATAATTACTGGTATGGCACGTATTCATCAGATAATACTGGCCACCATTATCCCCTTCCCCTTGCCTCCTCTTACAGACAGAGCATAATTACACCTTCCTCTCACCTATTAACCATCCACCAACACTTGGTAATAACACTGATCGAGCCCTATACTAGTATATCTACACATCGACCACCTACACATAAACGGCGGTGGGGGCGACTTCACATCGGCTGTGGATAAATAATAATGTAACAACAAGATGGAAGCATATGTATTGTCACACGCCAGCATTCTGCCCTTTGACATTTCAGCCGATATTTCACTGCACATTTACTGACAACAAATGGGTGACGTTATCTGTGTGTAAAAAAACACAATTGAGATGCGACATTCAACTCTGCCTGTGACAAAAACAGCAATGACGTCATATACCGAACAAAACTGTATAACTATTATAACAACACAGAATCTTGTTCACAATGCAGCTATTAATCACAAGATTGGGCAGGTCAATAAGAAAATGGGCAAACGGCGTTGACATATATTTAGTCACTCCAGTTGTTACTAACCCTACTCACGTAGAATTATCAGTTATTAAAAATATTAAAATTTAAGCAAGGGTGTAGAATTTCACGTATGTAAAAATATTCCATTTTGACACAAATTTTGACATTTATAAAAAAAAATTTATATGAATGGAGACAACTTGTTATTTACCAGCTATTTTGGCATACATAATTTACCATTACCATCAGGATCACATTTCCACATAGTGCATCATCATATGTACATATACAGTGCATCTAGGCTGCACCTACGATGTGCTTTTATGCTGCATCCACACATCATTGCTGTAACAACACAAGTTCATGGTGAGATCGAGTGCAAGCGAAAATATAGGTGTTTTCATCGGCGTTAAAAACATTCTAAAATATAGAAGAGTTTTCATGTGAGTATCTTCTTAAAAAAGTGCTATAGAAAAATTTGACACAACAATAAGGAAATATAGGAACGTTGCCACCCCTAACGTATACATCACCTGTACACATGACACGAGCACCTATGCTGCACATACAAAAATATCAAACAACGATCGGCTGACAATTGTGTGAAGATATCAAAAGTCATCACAACGAGCCGATGACAAATGAAAAGGGTTGAGTAAATCACAGGGGGACCACAACAGCAGCAACACACGAACCACGTTCACTCCTCGCCGCCAAAAATAGCGAGTCGAGAGATTCAACCCCATCGGCACCTGGGCGCATCGTCGACGGCGACGGCCAGGAACGCGAGGCTCTCGCTAGGGGACGCTGCACGTCGCTACATGTGCGTGACGTTGGCGCGGCCGCCGTGTCGCTGCGTGCGCGGCACGTCGTAAAGCTGTCCGCTCGCAGATGCCTGCGAGTTCGCGTAGATGCCGACCGAATCGTCGAACGCGTCCGCGGTGGCGCCGCCGTACGCGAGCGTCGCTTCGTCGTGGGGCTTCGACGCTGTGGCGCCACCGTCGCTGCACGGGGTCTCGGGAATGTCGTCGAGGTGCGTGGATGCTGCGGACGCGGGGGCGCTGTGCTGCAGCCTGCTGTCCTCGTCAGATGTCTCCCGCTGCTCCCCAGCTGTCGAGACACAAATGTAATCCATTACATATGAATAATCATGCAATGAAATCGTCATATACGAGCACACGTTTAATCGATAATATACTATGATACGCATAATTCATTATATATATATACACACGTATAATATTATCACAATAATATGTTATGATAATATAATTCATATATATACACAAGTATAATTCATGATATATAATCACAGGTATATTGAATAATATTTTATGATAATATAATTCATTATATATATATATATACACACATATAATATTATCACACGTTTAATCAATAATATGTTATGATAATATAATTCATATATATACACAAGTATAATT